AGCCCTACCTCTTGTTTTCATGGCACAAAACCTATTGCTTCAGTGGTGTTTCAGATAGGAATGTAAAACTGGCTAAATGTAACCACGTAATGGCTAAAAATCATATCAGTTACACATGATATGGGCTCTGCAGTATAACGCAGAACCCACAGCATGAGTAACCGCTATGATTTTTAGCCATTACATGGTGTAACTGCCGTTTTATATTGCTCTGCTGTATAATATGTAAGCTTTATACTGTAGAGCATGCAGTGATGCCTCCTTGGGAGCAGGGCTGGCAAGGGCTGTTTACCCTGCTCCTGAGGAGGAGGTTCTTCAATCAGCTTTCCTGGAGAGGGGCTGGCAGCCCCTGCTGCTCCCACTCCCAGGGAGCCAGCATATAACCTGCAGTGGGGGCCTGCAATGGATAGGAGCTACTCCAGCCCCTACTAACTAACCAGAATGAGTAAGCCTTACCTGTTGAGTGAGGCTAACTGGTTAACCTTTTACATCTAATTTAAAACTTCTACAGTGTAGGCTGGAGGAACTGGACAAACCTGACTGAAGTTAAAATGTCATTTTCAAGAACAGTGGACTAGAAACAAACCTTGGGGACATAAGAAGCTGGATGGGTGTTTCTTGCAGATTAGACTGACAAGGATTCTAAAGAGCTATCCGAGATCCTTATGTATCAAACATGCCAGAACACTGGCAGCATTTGCCTAACTAGTTAGTGCAATAATTTGATTAAAACTGAACAAACTCTTGCCTAACCTGCATGCCAGGTTCCTTTTAATGCAAGCTAAAAAGGAAAATGTAGTCAGTAGTATTGCTTTTCTTTGGCTTTGTGTCAGCCAGTACAACAACTTTCTGCTGTTGGGTAGAAAATTACTACATGAAAATACTTGTTCTTTTGCTGCAGAAGTAAAAGTACTGTAATAGCTTTTGGGTTGCTGAGACACCATCTTTTTGGACTTGTGCTAGTGTGTGTTAGAATCAGTGGATTTCAAAGTCTTGGTATGCAGTGCTGGCTATTGGGATTGAGCAATGAGAATATCCAGTCTGGAAACAGTATGAATTACAAAAGGAAGCTGGTCATAAAGAGATGTGACTGACTTGAGCACACTTGCAAAAATAAAACTTGGTATTGAATCTCTTTTCTACAGGAAGAATTTCAGACCCTATTGAAATGTGCTGGTGATAAGCTTGTAGTTGTTGACTTCTCGGCCACGTGGTGTGGACCATGCAAAATGATAAAACCTTTTTTTCATGTAAGTAATGCCAAACTCAATACTCTGCCAGCTTTTACAGCTGAGACTTGATTATTGCAATGGTATTAGTCAATGGTATTGCTATCCATAATGACCTAGTTTGATATCTGAACTGTCTTGCATTACTTAACACTCATTGAGAGACTAGCAAGAACCTCAGTTGTGACCTATATGTGGTATTCCTAATATGTCCAAATAATTCTTTGCCATGCTCTTAAAGCATTTCCCCCGAAAAGGTGAATTCCTCACAACTTATTGTGGGGATCATAAATTGATAAGGCAAACTAATTCATTTCTCTGGCTCCATAAGACAGTTTTATGTCAAATGACTTTGAAGTAAGGATAAGTACTGTGTAATTCACTAATCAAATAGTTGATGCATTTGTGAAACATCACAGCATTTCAGAGGAACAGCACCACATGGAGCCTCGGGATCAGCTGTGTAGCACTGCCCCTTTGAAACGCCACTGCAGCGTTTCAAAGCGGCAGTGCTGCACGGGACCCTGGGCTCTGTGCGGCGCTGCCACTTTGAAACATCGCGAGGAGCCTGGGGACACGCTAGCTGGCCCCAGGCTGCATGCGACTTTTCAAAGTGGCAGGGCTACGTGCAACCCAGAGTTTGGTCCCAGGCTTCAAGCAGTGCTGCTGCTTTGAAGTACCCACCTCATCTTCCCCCCACTTGCTGCCTCTATCTAATAGAGGCAGCAAAGGGGGGGGGGGGGGCTAAGA